CACAAAATGTTATAGAAGGAGTATGAAAAACAGAACCAGATTGGAAAGAAAGGAAAATACTGCAGGGAATATAAGTCACAACATGACAATTTTAGGAGTGTGGCATGATGACAGTTTTCTGGCAGTCATGGGCCTCCAGCTTCCCTGTAATGTTTTCCTGCCTCAGGAAAGTGGAACTGACTTGACAGACCCAAAATCTGTCTGCTTAAGGTCCCCATTAAGAAGAAGAAATAGCTCCAGATACTCCAAGTTTCTCTTCTTAGTCCTGTTCCTTACATTCACGTAAAGCAGTGGTTACAAAACACAGGCATGTTGCTGGGTCACCCTGAATTTCTCTAGCTCTTGTGTGGGTTCCAATAATTTGCCTTCCTAACACATTCCCCAGGTGGTGCTGATGCTGCTGGGATGAGGACCACGCTTTCAAAACCACTGACAGAAAGTCTTACTAGTGATGCTCTCATAAACAGTCCATTTTTTGCTGCTTATAACAGGATATCTGAAGCTGGGTAACTCACAGAGAAAAGGAACTTATTTCTTACAGTTATTGAGGGTGAGAAGTCCAAAGTTGAGGGACTGCATCTAGTGAGGCCCTTCTTACTGGTGGTGGCTCTCCATAGAGTCCCAAGGTGGTGCAGGGCATCATATGGTGAGGGGGCTGAAGGTGCTAGTTCAGATCTCACTTCCTCTTCTTATAAAGCCACCAGTTCCCCTCCCATGATAACCCATTAATCCATGAATAGATTAATCCATTCACAAAGGCAGCATCCTCAGGATCCAATTACCTCTTAAAGGCCCCACCTGTCGATACTGCCACTTTGGGGATTAAATTTCAACATGAATTTTGGAGAGGACAAACATTCAAACCATAGCAAACGTTATACAAATAATCCTCGTAATAACCTTGTGAAGCATGTGTTAATATTTTCATCATTCCCATTCAGAGATGAAGAAGAACCTACTAATGTCACACAGTTGTATGGGATAGAGCCAAGATCTGAATTCTGGTCTCTAATTCTAAAGCCAGACTTGTGCTTGGTGCTCTGGGCAGAAGTCTCCCTGACTTTAGGCATGAGTCTAGGGCAGCTGTTTCCCCAGGTAGTAATTTCATAAAGGAGCCCTCCACTCACAATCCCTTCCCACATCAGCTCCTCAGCACTCGAGTTCAGAATCAGACTTTTCCATTGCTATTCACAAGCCTGCTTCCTTCACATTTCCACTGTTAAAGGCCCCAGGTGGCAAAGCTGAGTGAACTCTCCCGGGTTTCACAGAGGTGGCCCCAGGGCAAGAGCAAGGGTTTTTTTCTGAAGTCCCATGTTTTGCCTACAAATTTCCTGCATGTTTTGCATTCTATTCCATTCTGTGCTCATGTTTAATATAATATAGCTTTTTCCCCTCAAATAATATTGGCTTTTCAGGAGCAGACCATGGTTTTTCTTCTGGCTTCCATTCCCCTTCCATGTTGAGGACCGGGGCGTGGCATCTCCAAAGTTGATTTATTAATGGCATCTGTACCTGCACAGACCCAATGCTTAGGTTCTCAGTACTCATTCAGCCAGAGATGTTACCGTGGGCTTTAGAACAACACAGACTTAGATTCCTATACAGTCCTGTCATTTACTGGTAGGACAACTTGGGAGAATTACCCTGGGCCTGTTTCTACAGCTGTAAAATGGGCATAAAACATACCTTCCTCACAGGGTTTGGTGCATATTACAAATGAAGTTTGCAAGGCACAAGACGTGTTGCAATCTATAAATGGAGGTTGCTGCTATTGCTTGTTATTACAATGATTTGTTGAGCAGGTGAACAAATGAATGAATGACCAGTCCTTAGACTGTGATGCCCCTGAGCTACACTCTTCTTAGACCAACACTGTCTGCCTGTGCCAAAGACAGACCCCCAACGTAGCAGTTCTCAACTTCTCCTCAGAGCCCAAAAGCTTTTCCTGGGCACCAGCCACTCCCAGCTCCCTGACCTGGGCACTTGGTTCAGCCTGACATTTTCATGACTATCCTGTGGCAGAGATTCTCAGATTCACTCTGAGGCCACTAATGGTGTACAAAGTACCTCTCAAATGAAATTCCTCTCTGAATTCTTATGGATAGAATGCAATTCCAAGACTTTTATGTTTATGTTTGTTTAAGGACTATATGCTGGTAATCTGCTAAATGAGTTATTAGGTATTACTCATATTTGCCACTCATAAACTTAAATTAGATCATTGCTAAGTTCCCCAAGGGCTTTAATTCAGTTATCTGTGAAATCAGGCTGCTTCTATATGCTCAGCAGCTACAGCCCCCACACTTAAGCAGATGGTTAGAATCCTGTGACCTAGGCAAGGCCCCGTTGTTATCATTGCATGTCAGTCTTGCTTCGGGTAGGTTGTGGTTTTCAGCTACTGCTATTCTTGCTTATTAATTAGAAATTATAGTTCACTTGACTTCATCATTATCATAGTAGTTTGTGGAGGATATTTGGTTAACCCTACAGCAGGCAGTGATACATATTTGCATCGAAGGTATTTTTAGCCTATAATTTTCCAATTACTAGATTTTAAGACATGAGTAAGTTGCAGTTCAAGCATGAATCATGCAGATTCTGTTGCTAAATAGACACATGCATAACCTGCCGCTAAAAGTGCTTGTGTAGTTGTCTTGGTTATCTATGATTACGTAACTACCTCAAAATGTTGTTGCTCCACATTTATGTTATTAGTCTGTGTTTCTGTGCATTGGGAGTCCAGACGAGGCTGAGTGGGGGCGGGTTATCTCTGCTCCACATGTGATGTCTGCTAAGGCTGTTAAATCTCAAACGACTTCTTGTCCCACAACACAGCTAGGATGAGACTTAGATGACTGGGTGCTGGCTGGAGTGGCTTGGCTGGGGTCTTCCATCTTGGGCTTCAGTTCTTGTCATCAGCTGAGTTGCTCAGTTCTCCTCTCTGTAATGTTAGATCTCCCTTCATCCATGTGACCTCTCCACGTGGTCTCTATGTGATCTATCCAGCAAAATGGCTGAACTTCTTACATGGCAGTTCAGTGCCCTTAGGAACACAGAAGTGGGAGCTGCCAGGTCTTCTCAAGGCTTATGCTTGACACTGACACAGCACCACTTGTAATGCACTATCTTGGTTAAGGCTAGTTACAGGTGCAGCCCAGACTCAAGGGAAGAAACTAGAAAGGGCATAAGTATCAGGAAGCATGGTTTGGGGGACCACCAGTGTAACCGATGACCACAATAGTGACAGTTCATTGATAAATTCAAGCAACTTATGTAACTTACAAAATACTATCAGATTAAACATAATAAAGAAACTTGATTGTAAGTTTATATCTGTTATAACTTTATAACCCTGATAGCCTATACTTGTGTAGGTCATTATATTTTAATATTAAAATGTAAGTATTGATGTATATTTTATGGTAAATTAAGTGACTCATAAACAATATTATCAACAACTGTACTGCAACTTGTGTCTTTTGTTCCTCCTGAATTCTTTTTATCACCCAGTTCTTCCTCTATAGGGACATGTAAATAGATGTGGTAGGATCTTTGACTCCGTGAAAATGATCTTGGTCAAAAAAAGGTTGAGAATCATTTTTCTAGTGTCAAAAAAATGAGCTCTTAGAAATCTTGTAATTGCTAGGGCTACAAAGTGGACAGGACATTCTTTCTGCCCTAAAGGAGTTCAGAATCCTGTAGGGAAGAGAGGTGGTAAGTACATGCACTCAGCAAACGTCATAATGGAGAAAAGCCCAAAGTGCTACTGGAGAGCAGAGAGGATATGCCCAGCCACATCTGGGCAATTAAAGAGGGCATCTTTAGGTACAACTTGAACTAAACTCCAAAGGCTGCATAAGAATTACAGGGTTGAAGAAGGAACAGTAGGAGTAAAAGCCAAAGATGGGGCACTTGTCAAGTTGTGACTTTCCACAAGTCTGAGAAGAGAGGGGTTTTTGTCTTTGTAGCTTTTAGTCTTTCTTCCCTTATGAAAATGTACTCATTATGGCTTTGTAATAAACCTTCAAATGCACATAAATAGGCTTCTCCAATCTGATGTCATATTCATGAATTAATGTTTTTAGGAGAGCAAAGAGGAGATGAGGAGGTGTTTGTTCCTGGATAATTGGGTATGGCTGATTCATTCAAATGAATAGAGAGACCCAGGGTGCAATTCAATACTCATTGAATTTGCCTTCTTCCTCCTGACTTGTGATTTCCATGCTGACATCTGTACAGAACAAATAGAATTTGATCTAGTATATAAAATTGCAGAGCTAGAAAATGCATTAGAAACCATTATTCCCACCCCCTCATTTTATAGACAAGGAAACTGAGGCCAAAGGAGCTGAAGCAATTGCTCAGAGTGACATAGCTGTAGAGACATAAAATACTCTTCTCCTAGCCAAGTCAGACAATATCCAATCTGAGTTTTATTTAGAAAATCCTATTCAACTTTTTCTGTCAGAAAAGATGCTTGGGGTGGTAATAAGAAGATTGTTCATACTGCAAAGAGCCTCTGAGAGGGGAGTGACCGAGCGGGCTGCTGAGGGAAGTGCCGAGCTTTGCAAGGGAAGTGCCGAGCTTTGCGAGCTACAGAAAGCCCTCCTGGGTATCAGCTGTCACCTTCATCAAAGGGCAGAAGCCAGAGGCGGGCTGTCCCGTGGGATACCACCTGGAAAGTCAGGCAGTGTTTTAGGCCCCTAACTTTTCTTGAAGGAAGTAAAGAATGGTGTAAGGCCAGGCGCAGTGGCTCATGCCTGTAATCCCAGCACTGTGGGAGGCCGAGGCAGGCAGATCACCTGGGGTCAGGAGTTCGAGACCAGCCTGGCCAACATGGTGAAACCTCGTCTCTACAAAAAATACAAAAATTAGCTGGGCATGGTGGCAGGCTCCTGTAATCCCAGCTACTCGGGAGGCTGAGACAGGAGAATCGCTTGAACCCAGGAGGTGGAGGTTGCAGTGAGCTGAGATCGTGCAGAGCAAGACTCCATCTCAAGAAAAAAAAAGAAGAATGGTATAGCTCTTTCCATTGTGAAGTCAAGCACTGAGCTACAACGGAACAATCATGATAATGATAATATGAATATTTGTTGAGTGATAGCAGTGTATACCACATTACCTCATCACCCCTCCTCAGCAGGAATATCAGCTCCTTCAGGAAGCTTTTCCTGATTCCTTGTGCCTGCTTCAGACACATTACAGGACTCCATAAATCTCTGCGCATATCTGCACCACTTCTCTTGCCAGCTTGTGTGTTAATTATTAATAGCTGTTTGGGTGTCTGTCTCCCACAAGGAATCGTCAACTACCACAATAGAGGAATATATAGAATTCTGTGGAACACAGCTGGGAGAATAGGCAAATTTGCTCAAAGAATTTCAAAAAGCTGTAGAAAAGAAGTGACCTTTTAACCCGGATCCAAAGAGATGAGTAGAGATTTGTCATAGGAAGGGAGGAGTAAAGGGCATTTCAAGTAGATCAAATGCATGATGTATTTGTCAGTCCATAAGGCTTATGGGGTCCTCCCACATCCAGGCACTTTGCTAGTGCTAACAGTAGACAGAAGATAGATTTGGCTGGAAGGTGGAGTGTGGGGGAGGAGGTAATGGGGGTGAGAACGGGGAGGTGAGTTATTACCACAGGTAAAGAACCTTGTGGAACTAGCTAAGGAGACAGTCCTTTTTTGCCTGGAGGCCAAGGGAGGCCTCTGAAGGATATTAAGGAGGTAAGTGTCAGAATCCAACTTAATTCTAAATGAGAAAGATCTCTATGGACAGGTATGGTGTGATTCATAGGGTGTATTGATTAGTGAAAAAACAATGTGCAGATAATGATCTATAACGTGCTACCTTTTGTATTAGAAAGAAAGGGAAGCCAGGCACAAACATTCACATATAATCTCAGCACTTTAGGAGGCCGAGGCAGGTGGATCACTTGAGCCCAGGAATTCAAGATTAGCCTGGGCAACACAGTGAGACACTGTCTCTACAAAGAGTTAAAAAAAAAAAATTAGTAGATCATAGTGGCATACATCACAGCTACTCTACCGGGAGGGCCGGGAGGGGGCTGCTGAAGTGGGAGAATTGCTTGACCCAGGAGTTCAAGGCTGCTGTGAGCTGTGATTCCACTACTGCTCTCCAGCATGAGACAGAGAGAAACCATGTCTCAAAAAAAAAAAAAAAAAGAAGAAGAAGAAGAAGGAGGAGGAGGAAAAGGGGAAATAAGATATTCATTATCTTCTCACATGTGCAAAAATAAACACAGGAAGTATAAACTAGATACTATAAGGTTGAGTGGGAATAAAATAGAAAAGAGGAGCTGGGAACAGAGTAAGAGGAATGAAGGATACTTCTTTCAGTATGTCTTTTTGTTTTTGTTTTTGTTGTTTTTGTTTTAAGAAAGGATCCCATTCTGCTGCTCAGGCTGGAGTGTAGTGGTGCAATTATAGTTCACCACAACCTTGATCCCTCAGGCTCAGGTGATCCTCCCACCTCAGCCTCCTGGGTATCTGGGACCACAGATGCGCACCACCATGCCTGGCGAATTTTTTTGTTTGTTTGTATTTTTTGTACAGATGGGGTTTTGCCTTATTGCTCAAGCTGGTCTAGAACTCCTGGGCTCAAGCAATCTGCCTGGTTCAGCCTCCCAAATGCTGGGATTACAGGGGTGAGCCACCAACGCCTGGCTGAATATATCTTTCTATAGTTTTGAATTTGGAACCGTACTGAAAAAGAATCAGTGTATATGAAGAAAACACCCTAAAATGAAATACAAACAGAAACTGATGGGAGTGAGAAAGAACTAACCTACATAACTTTTGAGAGTAGTATTTTGAGGGTATGCTGTTGCCTGAAAACAATGGTACTGTAAACAGATCTTGAAGTCTATTTTGTTTTTCACAGAGGTGTGGACAAGCAATTCTGGAACTACTTTCTGTGTATTAAGCAAATAAGTATGTTGTAGATGATGGAAACAAAGCTTGTTAGAGAAGAAAGTTAAAAAATACGGAAGGAAGGGAAGGCTACAATTGGCTTTGTAATGTTGAACTGAAGGTGGAGGTGAAAGTGTGAACTCAAGGTATTTAACAGAGAGAGAGAGAGATGAGGAATGTGTGTGTGTGTATATCTGTGTACGTATTTTTTTTTTTAGACAGTGTCTCACTCTGTCACCCACGCTGGAGTGCAGTGGCACGATCTCGGCTCACTGCAACATCCAACCCCCACCTCCCAGGTTTGAGCAATTCTCCTGTCTCAGCCTCCTGAGTAGCTGGGACTACAGGCACGCACCACCACACCCAGCTAATTTTTGTATTTTTAATAGAGACAGAGTTTCACCATGTAGGCCAGGCTGGTCTCAAACTCCTGGGCTCAAGTGATCCTTCCGCCTCGGCCTCCAAAAGTGCTGGGATCATAGACGTGAGCCACCATGCCCAGTACACATATCTATTTTCTAGCTCTGTCCTTGATAGGGCCTAGAAGCAATGACACCTCAGCAGCAATGAGCATACCTGGTATCCAAGCCTTGGCTTCAAATGTCATTCTTCACTAAAGGAACTCCTTAGAGAAATGACTGATTTTAGCACTTGGGTTGAGGAAGTTCGAGATGAGGCTGAAACACTTTGTAGAGCTAGAAAATAAAGATGTGCTCAAAAAATGATTGAGATATATCTAAAGAACAAATCACCACCTTGACTGAGTTTCCACTGATCAAATCTGGAACAATTTGAGGTAGCAACAGATTTGTAATCCACAGAATAAAATAAGAATCCATGAAAATAAATATATATTATATATAAATGCAGTTTTTATACACACATATATATTCTTTATATATTTATAATTTATCTTTATAATATACATATAAATTGATATAAATAACAAGAAGGGAAAGCTCTTACTTACAACAGACTCCTAACTAACAAATACAGAGGGAATGATGGAATTAGAAAATCAATATCATTGTAATAATTAATCCAGGCAAGAATCATTAGTGGATGCTAAAACTAGTGGATAAGAGTTTGATGAGTAATTACAATATTACAACAACCTGGAGCAGCATCAGATCAAGTTCCGAAACCTGTGGCACCACGCTAGACACTTTCTACTTGACTACTGTCAGCTGATTTTTTAAAATTTCAACTATTATTCAGCGGGTACAGGGGCAGGTTTGTTACCTGAGTACATTGCACGATGTTGATGTTTGGGGTATGAATGATCCGATCACCCAGGTAGTGAGCATAGTATCCAATTTTTCAGTTTTTCAACCTTTGCTCCTTTCCCCCTCGCCCCTCTAGTAATCCCCAGTGTCTATTATTTCCATATTTATGTCCATATGTACCCAATGTTTAGTTCCCACTTATAAGTAAGAACATGTGGTATTTGGTTTTCACGTATTTTCTATTTGGTATTTGGTATTTTTATTTGGTATTTTCTATTCCTGTGTTAATTCGTGTAGGATAATGGCCTCAAGCTGCATCCATGTTGCTGCAAAGGACACGATTGCATTCTTTTTTTACAGCTGTGTAGTATTGTATAGTATATGTGTACTACATTTTCTTTATCCAATCCATCACTGATGAGCACCCAGGGTGATTCCGTGTCTTTGCTACTATGAATAGTGCTGTAATGAACACATGAGTGCATGTGTCTTTTTTGTGGAACTACTTATTTTTGTTTGGATGTATACCCACTAATGGGATTGCTGCATTGCATGGGAGGTCTGTTTTAAGTTATCTGAGAAATCAATCTGCTTTCCACAGTGACTGAACTAATTTACATTCCCAGCAGCAATGTGTAGGCATTCCCTTTTCTCCAAAGCCTCACCAGCATCTGTTATTGCTTGTCTTTTTAATAATAGTCTTGGTTTTGATTTGCATTTCTCTGATGATTAGCAATGTTGAGCATTTGTTCATGTTTCTTGGCCACTTGTATTGTCTTCTTTTGATAAGAGTCTGTTTGTGCCCTTTACCCACTTTTTAATGGGGTTATTTTGTTTGTTTCTTTTATTCAGCTGATCGTTTAAGTCATATTGCTACATGTTGTATTTGTAACTGGATGATAATAACAATGATTTATTGAGTCTTTGCTATGTGCAGGCATTGCACCAGGTGGGGATCTTGTTTTTATGGTTTTTGCATATATTAACCCACTTCATCCTAACACCAACCCAGTAAGCCTTTTAATTAATACCTTCATATTTTAGATGAAGAAACCAAAGTTCAAGAGATGAAAAATATGTCTAGGGTGAAATAGCTCAGAAGAGGGTAGAGCCCAGATTCAAATTCTGTGCCTTCTGGTTTTAGTTCAGTGTTGTTCTGTCATGCAATGTGCCTCTGCGTCCTCTTAGATCTCCCTCTGTGCTTCTGAAGGTGTGCAGAATGCCCAGGCCATGGAGGCATTCTTTTTTTTTTTTTGACAGACTTTCACTCTGTTGCCAGACTGGAGTGCAGTGGTGCAGTCTTGGCTCACTGCAACCTCCAACTCCCTGGTTCAAGCGATTCTCCTCCCTCAGCCTTCTGAGTAGCTGGGATTACAGGCATGCGCCACCATGCCCGGCTAATTTTTGTATTTTTAGTAGGGATGGGATTTCACCATGTTGGCCAGGATGACAGAAGCCAGGTCAAACATACCACATTAAGTGTGAATGGTTTAATCATTTCCTTTTTTCTTTTTCTTTTTTTTTTTTCATTTATTTATTTATTTATTTATTTATTTATTTATTTATTTATTTTGAGACAGAGTCTCGCTCTGTCGCCCAGGCTGGAGTGCAGTAGCGTGATCTCGGTTCACTGCAAGCTCTGCCTCCCGGGTTCATGCCATTCTTCGGCCTCAGCCTCCCCAGTAGCTAGGACTACAGGCTCCTGCCACCACGCCTGGCTTTTTTTTCTTTTTTTTTTTCTATTTTTAGTAGAGACGGGGTTTCACTGTGTTAGCCAGGTTGGTCTCGATCTCCTGACCTTGTGATCTGCCCACCTCGGCCTCCCAAAGTGCTGGGATTACAGGCATGAGCCACCACGCCCGACCACACCCAGCTAATTTTTGTATTTTTATTAGAGACAGGGTTTCACCATGTTGACCAGGATGATCTCGATCTCCTGACCTCATGATCTGCCCACCTCAGCCTCCCAAAGTGCTGGGATTACAGGCATGAGCCACCGCCGCACCCAGCAGGAGGCATTCTTAAACAGAAGCACTGGTGGCTCCTTCTTTCTTCTCACCGTGTTTACTAAACACCTAGCCTCATTTTTTTTCTCATCTGCAAAACAGAGAGAGCAGTATTGAATTTACATGTTATTAAGAGGACTAAATTAGATAATGTATATAAAGCATATAGCACAGTGTAAAGTACATGTCCATTCATTGATAGCAGCAGCAGCAGCAGCAGTGGTGACAGTGGTGCCAATGCTAGATTCCCTGGCATGATGGCAAAGATTTCTAAAGGATACTCCTCACTTTCATACTAAATTGATCATCAGGAGCCAGATCATAAAGAGCTTTGTGTTTCATGAAAAGAAGATTACATCTTATTCTACAAGCAGTAGAAACTACTGAAGAATTTTATTACCGAGAGAGATGTGATCTGGTTGGCAATTTAGAGAGCAGAGCAAGGGGAGAACAAAGTGCAAGGCAGGGAGAGCAGCAGGTGGCTGCTGTCAAAGGCCAGGCAAGGGATAAGGAAGGTCTGAGTTAATGCCAGAGATGGTGTGATGGACAAAAAGGAGCACACAGTGGACAGTCAAACTCTGGGGCTAGTGCCTAGGTTTAGCAGGAGAGAAAAGGGGAGGAGCTTAGCTGAGCCTCCTGCCTCTGACCTGGGCACTGGTTTCTCTTGGGCATAACCCAAGCGGCTGGGGACACTGGAAGGTGCAGATCAGGGATGGTTTGGGACACAGAAGGGAGTCACAGTAGATGATTGGATATTCAGATCTGGATTAAGACATCTGAATATCTGAATATTCAGATTCAGACCAAGGAGAGAGCTCAGGGCTGCCGCAAGATGCAGGGGGTCATTAAAACTTGGAGGTGGACGAGATCCATCAGGGAAGGGATGTAGAGTGAGAAGAGGGCTGAGGACCGAATTTTGGAAGCACCAATTTTTTCTTTAACTTTTATTTTAGGTTCAGGGGTATGTGTGCAGGTTTGTTATATAGGTAAATCACATGTCACGGGGGTTTGGTGAACAGATTATTTTGTCACTCAGGTAATAAGCATAGTATCCAGTAGGTGGTTTTTCAGTTCTCTCCCTCCTCCCATCCTCCACCTTCAAGTAGGCCCCAGGACCTATTGTTCCTTTCTTTGTATCCCTGTGTTCTCAGTGTTCAGCTCCCACTTATAAGTGAAGATGTGCTGTATCTGGATTTCTGTTCCTGCATTCGTTCACTTAGGATAATGTCCTCCAGCTCCATCCATGCTGCTGCAAGGAACAGGATCTCGTTCTTTTTTATGGCTGTGTAGTGTTCCATGGTGTGTATGTACCACATTTCCTTTATCCAGTCTTCCATTGATAGACCTTTAGGCTGATTCTATGTCTTTGCTGTGGAAACATTTCAATATTTAAAGATGGCAAAAGAAGAGGCTGAAGGAGACTGAGAAGAAACACCCAGAAAGATAAGAGAGTTTCAAGGTGGAAGTTTTCTGCCATAGCAAAGACTGCAGAGAGAGAAAGGAGGTGAGGAAGGACTGAAAGGTGCCTGTTGGATTTGGCAACTAGGTCACTGATGACCTTGACAGCAGCAAGCGCCAAGGAGCAGAGTCGAGCTGGCTGGATTAAGGAGAAAGTTGGACTTTCAAGGAGAGAAACTAGAACTTAATGTCCCCAGGAATGTGGGTATCTCATTTCCTTGCCATGCATTCTGGTTAATGGAAGGTCTTCTTTATACAGCTAGAATCTCTCTCTCTCTCTCCGGCATCTTCCCTCAGCTCTAGTTTACTCTCCAGGTCCAAAACAACCAGTCTACACACTTCCCCAGAGAATGGTCCATATATGCCTCCCAACTTGGTCATCTCATCCAGCACTGCTCATATGCTCCAGGTACCCCAGACTTGCCTTGCAGTTGGCCACAGGATGGATCCTGTTTTATTAAAACTGGGCTTGTTCTTTGGCAGCATTAGAGCGTGTGTTTCAATTGGTCTTTATTTCTCACCTTTTTAGGTTGGTGGCTTCCCAACCATGTTTGTAACCTCAACTGAGAATAAGAAAGACACTTCACAATATGATCAGTATAACCATGGGTGTATAGCTGAAGGAAAAGTCTATGACATAATACGTCCCCTTACTATGGTAGATGCACTTTAGCATTTTCAACTCCATCTCATTCTATCCTATTCCGTTTCATGTATTTGCATGCTTGTTGTGACTCATTACATCAATTTCACAACCACAAAACTGATTTAATGACCCACAGTACGAGAGGCTCAAAGGAAATGATACTCAGTGTTTTTTTGAATCCATCCCCATTTCCCTGCCTCATTGAGGCCAGCAGCTCATCCCTCTAACTCCCTTTTTTATGACTCTAAGAGGACAGAGAATTGCTTCAGTCACTAGATGTTAGCCAGTCTTGTGGGTATTCCAAATGGCTCACCAGAGCTATCATGGTGGAATTTGGAAATCAGTGGAGGAGAGAATGGCTGCATAGGCTCCTGTTCCTGTAATTACTCATGAGGCACCCAAGAGCCTAAGGCATTTTTATGCCCTGAGGATGCCCTTAGGCAGCCCTAATACCACCTCTCATGTGACACATTGAACTTTTCCCAGAGCTGAGTAGTATGGCCCACCTATTCATACAGGCCACAGCTTGCCCCTCAACACTCACCCCCAGCCAGACAACTGTCATTATCCCCTCTTCAGACCTCTCTAAGAGGAGAACCATCCTTGAGAACCATGGAACCATTGTTCCCTGTAGATCTTTCAGCAAAGAAAATTCGGGCCTTTTTTTTTTAACACTCTCATTTACAATGTCTTTTTTGCTTCTACCTAGGAAGAGCCAGGATTTCTGAATTTACCTTGAATACAGACAGGAGGATGTTGCCTAAGGAACAGCAGAGATCTTGTCTCATCTTCTGAGAGGTGCCTGCTGCTGCTGTGTACACTTGAGCGCTCCCAGAAGTCTCCTGAAAGACTTACATCGCAAATCTGCAATGAGCCAAGCCCTTGGCTGGGCCTCCACTTCAGCCTAGCAAACAAAACTCCATCCCTGCCCTTTAGCCACTCACGCCAAGTTTAAAAATGGGTGAAGAACGGTGGGTCTCCCTCACTCCAGAAGAATTTGACCAGCTGCAGAAATATTCAGAATGTGAGTAAATGCATGGAAAGACCTGGGCCAGGATTTCTTCTTGGCTGGAGACATCATTTCTGGAAAGCCCAATAATATTATCATTGCAAAGCCACAAAGAACGATATCGGGCCTGATGGCTTATATTTCCTTATAAACACAGAATTAGTGTATTTAACATAAAAACACAATTATCTTTAGGCTCAGTAAATGCTACGTGCTCACCACAGAAATTTGGAATATACATAGAAAAAAATAGAGTAGGTTAAAAATCCCTGACAACACTACAAACATCTTAGAGCACTTCCCTGCTGTGCATACTGCCTTGCACTGTTGAGCTCACACTGTATACACCCTTCGTTAAGCCTGCATTTCCCACCTAATGTATCGTATGTATTTTCTCACATCATTAAAGCCTCTTTAGAGCATAGTATTGAAGGGCTGCATGCTGCATGGCTACGTTACTCAATTGTTTACTGTAATATATTCCTGCATTTGGAACCAAGGCCTTCTTGCAGTAAGATGCTGAATGCTGATGTGTGTTTCTTTCTTGACTTTGTTCTGGGAAGGGAAGGCCTTCCCAGGAAGGAAGAAAAAGAAGAAGCACAAAGGGGATGCCTACCCTTGAGGAATCAGAATCTTTTTAGGGAATCAGAAATGTGCTCGTGACACAGAGAACAGCTTAAAGGCTGCAGGCAAACAGCTCTGGTAGAGCTGGCTAAACTAAGCATGGAAACGAGAAGGGAATCAAAAACCAAGGGAAACTGGTATGGGGGTTGTATTACACTTTGCTACTTGGTTCAATCCACAATCAAGGAGTCAGTGGTGCTGGCTCCTTCTGAGAGTTGTGGAGAAGGGATCCATCCCAGGGCTGTGTTTTCGGCTTGTGGATGGCCATATTCTCCCTGCATGCCCTCACATGACATTCTCCCCGTGTGCATATCTCTGTGTCCAAAGATCCCCCTTTCCTAGGCACACAACCCTATTGGCCTGGACACCCCTATTCAGTCATGACTTCATCTTAACTAATTACATCTGCAACCACCCAAATAAGGTTACATCCTGAGTTATTGAGGGATAGAACTTTAACACATAAATATGAGGTTTGGGGCACAGTTGAACCGATAACAGAGCATTTAGCTGGATAAACTCCATGGAGGAAAGAGGTTTAAAATGTGAGCAGTAGATGGAAGGGGAACGATGGAAGCAAAAGGAATGTTTAAGAATGTTGATTTTGAGATGGCAATAACACACCCACTATGCATTCCTGTGGTGTGCAGGGATGGTTAAGGAGAGCTTCTGGGCTGGATGATGAGAAGGCGCAGAGAATGAGGAGGACATAAGGGGGCATGGGGATAGCAGGAGGCCTTGGGCCTTGCGTGTCAAAGTGTGGGCAAAATTTAGAGCCAGGAATCTGGAGACTGTATGCAGGGTGGCTTGGATCAGGCAGTTTCCAGGCCAGGGAATTGGGCAGGATCCTTTGGAGGAAACCTGGTCTGAGCCAAAGAGCTAGGCTAAGATGGTGAGGGTGGCCATGAACAAATGCTAATTCATGGGAAACTGTGGTGGAAATACCATCAACACATATAGAACAAAAGAAAGTCATCAAAGATACCTTGCAGACTGAATCTGTAGAAAATGACATCAGGATGCAGGGCTGATGGGGAATGTTTGGGAATGTTGATTTTGAGATGGTGATAACACATCCACTATGCCTTCCTATGTGCCAGGCTCCAGGGATCCAGCAATAAATGAGACACAGTTCCTGCCCTCAAAGAGATCACTGCCTCACAGAGGAAGACAAACAGAACTCAAGCAAGGGTGTTGCAGTATAGCCGGTGCTCAGAAGTGGGCAGCGTGGGAGGAGAAGGCCCAGAAGTGGGCAGCATGGAAGGAGAAGGCCCAGCTCAGCCTAATGGGAGGCTTCCTGATGCACGCATTGTTTCCAGACTCCAGGAACTGTAGGGGAGGGAGGGAGAAGGGTGTTCTGGGCAGAGGACGTGGCTTGGGCAAGGGCAGGGCAGCGAGGAGGACATCATAGGAGCTTCCAATAACTGCAAGAAACTCCCAGGCTGGGATCCCAGAGCTTGTGTTGGTGGTGGTATCAGTAGTGTTGGGGGAAGAACTAGAAAGGAAAGTAGGACCCCATCCTGGGGAATCCTGCTCTCTAAGCAATATGTCCTGCGGGCGCCAGAAGGGTGTGTGATGGGATTTGAGTGGAAATGAGGGGTCACTCCATAGCTCTGACTTGGGAATTACATGTGGAGATGGCAAGGAGAGAAAGAAAATGAATGAAGGCACTCATACAGCAGGAATGTCAGGAAAGAAAAGAAGAGGTTAGAGAACGAGGCTTACAGTATGTCTCTATCAGGGGTCAGCAGAAGACACAGAGAGAAGAACCAGAAAGACAAGTAGGTGGAAAAGAGTGCAGCATGGAGGGCGTGAAGGTGAGAAGGGGCTCCAGATGCAGCAAAGCCACTGAGCAGGCAGAGGGATGAAAAGGAACCGGAGTATTCAGTAGGAGAGGGCTCTTTTGGGGTTGGGCCTTTTCTTTAAACATTTACCTTTGTCCTTCTCTGACACTTGCTCGTGTTGTCCATGTCGGGAGACTGGATGAGGCACTCTGCTACTGTTGTTCAAACAGGAGAGGAAAAAAAGATACAATTCTTACAAAATGATTAATCCTTAGAGAAAACCCTGAAAAAGTCATTCCCACCAATTTTAGACACATTCTGGTGTTCAGTCGGATTGCATTGCCATAGCAACCACTCTTCCATAACCACATAAACAGGAGCTCTACAATAACACAATAATGAAGTGTACAGCCTGAGAACTGAGAACTTTCTCCAGTGGGGTTACCAGGTAGGAGAGGCTCTTGGTATTTTCCACTTGTATAGTGTAAGGTTGGCGCCTTCTCTGGTGACCTTCTATAGGGTGGGGGTGGGACATCTTAAAACTGCTCTTGGAAGCATGTATATTTACTTTGTATGTATACATACATACATATACACACAGACACATAGACACACACATATATAGCTGACTGTAAGTTTGCTGTCAGTCTACGATGTAAAGTACTTACCAAAAGAACTAATGTGATATTAAGAAATTTATATTATAAAACAATGAAATTTAAAGCCAACCATGATTCTATTTTCCAGTGATAACCAGCACTGGCATGTTTATGTATAAATGTAAGTATAAACATAAATATTAAAATATACATGCACATATACATATATACACATATACAACATACATATGTAAAACAAACTTGAGAATATGCATGCTGTACTATTTTGTATGCTGTTTTCTTCTCCTTAACGATATGTTTCAGTTACCTGTTGCAACATCAAAACAACTTCAAAACTTGTGTGCTGAAACAACCACCATTTTGGTTTCCCATGATTCTGTGGGTGAGGAACCTGGGCAGACATAGTGGGCATGACTCATCTCTGCTCCACTGTGTTTGGACCTTCAGGCGGGAGATCTCAAACAAGTGAGGACTTAGACTATCCAGTATGGCTCGTTCACTCACATGGTGGGACCTCAGTGTTCCTTCATGGAACCTCTTTCTCCAGCACTTTCTTGTCTTCCAGGGCCTCTCCATATGACCTTTCTTTTCAGCAGGATAATCTGGAAATCTAACATGGCAACTCAGGGCTCCAAGAGCACAAAAGAAGCTGCTGTCAGATCTTTTTAGCACCTGGGATCAGAGATCCTAGAACGGAACTCCCTCCACATTCCATTAGACAGTGCAGTCACAGGCCTGGCTCACATTCAGTGAAGTAGAGGAATAGACTCCACATCTCAGGGAGGAGGGACTCACATAGGGACAGAAAGAATTCATGGCAGCCATCTTTAGAAACTGTCTAGCACACAAGATCAATCATGAGTCATTCGCACATCATTCTGTACTCTTCAGAAGCATAGCTTTTAGCGGTTGCAGAGATTTTTTTTACTACATTTGTACTATTTCATCTAACCAAACCAGTCTTTGCAATCTTAGGCTGTATTCATAGACTCATAGTGCCTAGTAAGGCAAACTGATATCCACCTTCTAGCCTACCCTGATAGACCATCAAATCTCTCTAGAGGACTGTTATTTATGGTCACTATGGTTTACAATGGACATGGACAACCTGGAACTTGTTTGAGAGTTGGTGAGAGGCCTCAAAGCCACATTATGGAGAATGAAGATACTGTGCATATTTGTTGGAGAAAGGAAGGGAAAGGTGAAGAAGAGCTCGTTGTATTAAAATAGCTCAGTTCTGTTGTGGGAAGAAGTGTGAAGTTAATTTTGAATGGCTTCAAGAGGTAGCCCTAGGACTAATGGGAGGAAGTTATAGGAAGTCTTTAAAGTGTGCAATACATTAATTCCTAGTGGTCAAACCTGCTCAAACTGGAATCGAATTGACTTAAAAGTGACTGGGTTTCCTTTCCCTGGAACTGTCTGGACAGAGAGTTAGTTGAGACACTATAGGGGAGATAAGAGCTTTAGTCATCTGGTTGATTAAACGACTTTCATTAACTCTTCCAATACTTGGTTTCTATATTTAAATAGATTTCTACCACAGAGGATGTGTGCAGGTGGGGATACCCCCTACTGACCCTCTTCCTAACAAGAATTGCTGGTGGCCAGTAGGGGCTGGGTATTTTTTTTTTCAATTTTTTGTTAATTCCTTAAAAGTTCCATGATGCATCAAGGACAGAAACTATTCATTTATTCAGAAAGAGAAAAAACGAAAAACAACTGATGAAGCATCCATTAAATTTTTAATTCTCTAAGAAATTAAACCAAACATTTCCTACATCAGCCAGCAGTTACTTGGACTGTGTAGAACTTTCTTTTTTTTTTTTTTTTTTTTTTTTGAGACAGAGTCTCACTCTGTCACCAAGCCTAGAGTGCAGTGGCGTGATCTCGGCTCACCGCAACCTCTGCCTCCCAGGTTCAAGCATTTCTCCTGCCTCAGACTCCCAAGTAGCTGGGATTATAGGCACCCAACACCACGCCAAGCTAA